GCTGCTGAAGTGCGGGAGAAAGTCCTCATACATGCAGAGAAGAAGCGGCAAGTGCGGAAGAGGCGAAAAAGATGGGTTGCACTTCGTCGACATCAAGCGCATGGTGCTGTAGCACATGCGGTCGCGAGTGCCTGAGTCAGGCAGGCCTAGTGAGCCATGAGCGAGTCCACTCAGGACCACCACTGAAGCGATGACGGGTCCGGCATAGAACGTAGTCAGAATCGGTGCATAGTTCGTAGCTACACTGCATTCGATTTACTAACCGCGTGCTTGCACGCTAAGTCGCTTTATTATAGGCGGTGGATTCGTAATTATTTTCAAATACTTTCTTGTTCATATTTATCTATAACTGTACTATCTTCTATAAACTTGCGCACGTCGCTTAAGCCAATTGCAGTTAATTTCGATAACATTTGCGTGTTTGTGGTATTTCCTAAAAATATCTCATCTGAACTTTTAAACTTATCGCGGATTCGGTCGTGATCAAAATTTTATACGCTCACTTTGTGAAGTTGTCACCGCATCCGTATGAATTATCCGAAGTATTTTATTTCATCTTGTTTTTTCAAGTGGTTGGCTTCTGATTGATATCCCTGCTATGGCTCCGCTTGGTGCGCATGTTAACAAAGTGCGTACTTGTCTATCACCCACTACGTCCTCCGTATTGGCTCTAGAAAACAGTTGGTCTTTGCTGAAGGGGACGGGGTGCACGGTCCCTGTGGTCGTGTTAGGCACGAAGATTTGTTCTATGCACTTAGTGTAGAGCGGACTACGATCCAACCACCGCCTTGTGTGCGCTTGATTCCCAAATACAGCGTTTTGTGTTTGCCTGTGAAACGTGGCCCCCATCCACATGCCACCCGGTCTTATTACTTCGGGTTTACACTGGATATGGGGTATGTGGTTGGAGCTGTGGGTGGTGCAGCGCAACCCACTTGTTGTCCCTCTGTAGAAGCAGACGTCCTGTGGCTGGCCACAGTGACAGGCAAATCCGAAACCGGATGCCACCAACCGTATATATATATATATATATATATATATATATATATATATATATATATATATATATGGTTGGCGGCATCCGGTTTCGGATTTGCCTGTCACTGTGGCAAGCCACAGGACGCCTGCGCCTACAGAGGGACCATGGATGGCTTGCGCTGCACCACCCACAGCTCCAACCACACACCCCATATCCAGTGTAAACCCGAAGGAATAAGACCGGGAGGCATGCGGATGGGAACCACGTTTCATCAACGGAGCCGGCCCACACTCCTTCACAGGCAAACACAAGCACGCTGTATTTGGGAATCAACCGCACACAAGGCGGTGGCCGGACCGTAGTCCGCTCCACACTGAGTGCATGGAACCGCTCTTTGAGCCTAGCACGGCCACAAGAACCGTGCACCCCGTCCCCTCCAGCAACGACCAACTGTCTCCTGGAGCCAGTATGAACGATGTAGTGGGTAATAGACAGGTAGGCACCTTGTCAACATACACATCAAGCGCAACCATACCAGGGATATCAAACAACAGCCATTCACTTTAAACGACAAGCTGAAATAAAATAAATCCAATAATGCATACAGATACGGTGGCATAACTCTTCGCAAAATTACCATATGAAGTAATTTGGTTAGTAACAAATCCGTGATAAGTAAGAAATGTCCACAAATTACTTAAAATGCTACAAACGCAACAAAATTACCGAAGATAAGCGCAATTAGTGTAAGCAACGTGGCCAGTTAATAGAACATTATTCAGGGAGGCAGAACAAACTAAATAAAGCGGAATGAAATTTATCCAGCTTAAAAAGACCTAGTTTAAGTGCAAGTTGGTTTAGCCCAACTGCGGTGAAGAAGCATCAAGAATGCAACATCAGCCTCAGCATGGGGCTTATATATATATATATATATATATATATATATATATATGTATGTATATATATACTGCGGTCTTGATGCTTCTTCAACGAAGTTGAGCTAAACCAAAGTATGCTTAAATTTTTTTTCATTTTTAGCTGGATAAATTTCATTCCACTTTGTTTGGTTTGTTCTGCCTTCCTGAATATTCTGCTATTAACTTGCACTCCTTGTTTACGCTTATTGTGGTTATCTTCGCAATTGTGTCGCGTTTGTGGAATTTTTGGTGTAACTTCTGAAGGTTTTGTAATTATTACGGGTTCTTTACTAACCAACTTAATTCATATGCTACTTTAGCGAAAAGTAATGTCCGCATAACCGTATGATTTAATAAACATATTTTATTTGTTAATCTCAGTTCTAGTGATTGCATGTTGTTTGATATCCGCGGCGTGTCTGCGCTTGGTGTGCATGCTGACAAGGTGCCTAGCTGTCTAGTACCCAGTACCCCGTCCATACTGGCTCCAGGAGACAGTTAATCGTTGCTGGAGAGGGCGGGGTGCACGGTCCTTGTGGTCGGCCTATGGTCGAACAGTGATTCTATGCACTTAGTGTGGAGCGAAATACGGTCCAGCCACCGTCTTATATGCGGTTGATTCTCATATATATATATATATATATATATATATATATATATATATAAGATTATGGATCTTCATTAGTGTCGCTTGATTCCTAACTGTCTGCAATCTTCTTTAAAACAAATGTTTCACTCAATTTTAGTAGTCGCTAACGAGCGCATACACAAATAACGCACAACGGCGCACACTCTGCATCATTCTTTGTTTGGCCTTTGACTTGGCGGTGACAAGTGAGCCACCAAACGTAGGGTCTGTGGGATAAGATTGTAAGATCACTGAGCTGAGTAACCTAACGATAAAACAATCGTTAGATGTTAATTTAACACTGATATATAACCAGTAACAAGCTAAAGCGGAACTGGTGTTGCAGTATGATCGAGATGAAATTAGCGAAATCGAAAACGTTCCTTCAAGAAATTCAAACTGGCACTGCTGAACACATCAGAATATTTGTAGAAAGACAATGGTGCATCTATATAGGTAATCCGTCGTGGTCCCTTCTCAGTCAGCAGACTTTGGCACGTTTGGAAAAGCACCAGACAGCGCTGTTTCGACCTTCTAGGTCTCCTCAGTGGTTCGCCTTCCTTGGATCCCCGCGGCGTTCCGACCCCATGACTTCCGGATGGTTGCGGTTTGTGCCCCTAAGCCATGGGTGACGAGGGCTGATCTACGTGACTAACATTTGAGTACAATATAGCCCGGCTCACCCTCCACTGCCCAGCCATTTAAGAACTCTACAGAAGGCGGTAGTTGGTCCAGCGAGCAAGGAAGTTTCCGCATAGCCACTGCGAATGAGGAAGGCTCATCAATGACGAGACCTAGAAGGTCGTAACAGCGCTGGTTGGTGCTTATACAGAGATACCAAAGCCTGCGGACTGAGAGGGGACCGCGAAGAATTACCGCTGAATTTATACCAAAATCTTCACCCCACATAAATAATAATTGTGAGTTTACCTGTTTGGAACATGGAGATACACGTTTGCTTGCATTATGCAGCCACCCATCGCACACAACGTATAAAAGACAAATGTAGATGGCGCAGTGCGCTGGCAAGTATTTTTACTTGTCGTCAACCTGTGGGTAGAAAGGGTGTACGAGCAGCAAAAGGCATTCCAAGAACCATCGACTCGTAACCACTTTTCTTATGAACAACTTGAACGCAAACTCTTCTTGAGGATCCAAGTACAAATCTGATCAGATTAACCACATGGTCAGCGTCGCGCACTATTGAGTAATAAACGATTATTTTATTTTATTTTCTTTGATGCCATTATTCCACTCCTTTTGTGATGTTATATGTTATCGGATCTGTATTGCACACACAGTCGATAAAAACGGCAACAGCCACTTGGATTCCTTTCCCACTAGCTCAAATGAACTGAAGCGTTTCAAGGTACATTTGGTCGTGAGTCACTGGCCATATACAGATAGCAAGGCACATTTCTCAGCGTTCTAAATTTCTGTGTTTATCGGTCAAGTACAAAAGATGAGAGACCGGAAAATTCCTTGTCAGAACCGTCGTAGCTCAATAATTCGAGCTATCATCCGTTTTCGACACTTCACCTGTACAAGTTGGTCGATCGGTCTTTCTTGCGCAGAAGCAAAACATGCTATTTCTCTGTTAGATTTCTTTACTCTTACTGCGCTTCTACCTCCACATATTTTATCTTCATCTGTAGATCTTTTTTGGTCAGCACCTGAGATGACGAGTTGAAGCCTCCGACGCTAATGATTTTACCAATGTGTCATATACGCACTGAAGGTCGGGCTCTAACCCACTCAGGTGGATGGACACTACAGTTGAATGCACACGTACACACACACACACACACACACACACCAATCTCGTCGTAGCAACAGTAAATGCATGTCGAGATATCCTGTGATTTTACGGTGACTTATCAGAAGTTCGAGGAGTTCAAACACCCGTCCCGCTGATAGCAAGACGCAAACTTAATGCCTGAATAAGAGTTCATCATTTAAAGTCGGCCACTAGGTATATTCAGTAGAAATGTCATAGGAACCTTCAGGCTTTCACAAATTTCAGTAATTATTTTCGTTCCTACTTTATACAACTTCTAATTGTTCAAGTAATGTACAGCTCAGCCTACGTTACCTGACTTGGATAACGTCATTTATCATGACAGGGAGCATTCAACTTGAGCTTACATGTAAACACCGTAGTAAATCCACCGATAAACGTCAGTTTTCGATGCAATTCTCTGTGGATTTTGCTCCTTTCACCGGCAAGCTTTATGAACGTTTTGCTTATTAACAGCAATATATTTTCTATTCCATAGTTTCGCCTCACCATAGCTGATAGAGATTCTGCCGTTATAGTTGTTCTGTTTCTGTTAACCCGGAGCAAATTATCTCTTCAGTCTGCTCTTCATATTATGGCTGATACGGTATCCAAACTACCTGACGTAAATCACTCGCAAGTGATACGGAACGATTACGGAAACAAGAATAGATAAGGTTAAACAGATCAATAACTTCGAACTTAGTAATAGTATGTATTGTATTATTATTAGTATTAACCGAGTGCTGTGCTTTCTAATGATAATTGGGTTACGTAAATAAGATAACTAGAAAAATCAATAAGCCCTCAAATGACAGAGTAAGGGATATCTTGATAGATGAAGCCGGCATTGTGGTTGGTGCGACCGGTCAACAAAGACGATCACGAATCCGGAGGAAACAATCCAGACTGCGCAGCGGCTTTGCCAGATTTGAATCACGAAGCCACAAGCTGCTTAGAAGACCTACCAGAATCGCAAACAGAACAAAATTGTTTGATACATTGGCAATGCTGAAAGTAAAATGGTCCACTGGTTGTATCGAATCTTTGTGTATAAAAGAACACCTGGTAACAACAAATTTGAACAATGTACCATTAATGTATACGGGTGGCATCTCGCAGAGAGGTAAACAAGACAAACCATGGGAACAACTGCCAAATTTTAGAGTTAGATAGAAAAGTGATTTATGGGGACCATACTCTGTTTACTTCTGAATAAGTGGTGAAGAGTTAGGATTTTGTAACCAATAGATTATCTTCTGCTCACTGAGTTCGACATTAAAGGTGCCTATGATTCGATTGATCGGTGTGCCCTTTGGGACTGTCTACTCACTAAATGTGTGCTCGAAAAATACATGAAAATTATCAGAGCGCTTTAGGCGCTTAGCTCAGGTAGATTTAGGACTTAGGACAAGCTATCAATACCTTTCAATATGTCCAGCCATGTGAAGCGAGGATGCCGGCTATCAACTATGCCTTGTAACTTCTTCATCGACGAAATCATGGGACTGCTTTACTGAATACAACCTGCAAGGTGTGCAGCTGCTCCAGGTGAACGACTTCTTGGACTATGCTGACGACATTGCTATTGTCTGTGACAGCTCCCAAAAGTGTCAAGTAACACCGGTCATACTAGCTTTGGCTGTCAATCGCTCGGGCTATGCTATGCACCCTCGAAGAGAGTAGTGCCTCTCCAAGATGGGCATGGACCTACCCCTAAGTCGACCCTTGGTGTTGATCAGCTAGAAGTCGTCGAGAAATCCAAGCATCTAAGCAGCGCTAGCGACATGGGTGATGGGATCACATGCCACATAGCAATTGCCCGTGGCGCTTTTGCCAATCTTCGCTGTCTGTGGTGCCGGCGCGATATCACTCTATCCTTGAAGAGAAGTTTGCAATGCAACCATCCTTTCAACTTTCCTGTACGGTTGTGAAACCTGACTCATTAAGTCGGCAGACATAAAGAGTCTAATTACTTTCGGCCATATCTGTCTACACAGTTTAGCTCAAGTCTGGTGGGTGCGCCCCGTGTTCGGCGTCGTGCATTTGGTGTACGAAGGGCAAGTGAACTGCTCAGCACTGTTATTTCATGGACCAGGTTCCGACGGCTGGGCCAAGTGTTACGCATCCCAGCGCATCGACTCCCACGGCTTGCCTTGTTTGCTTGACGGGGGTGTGGATAGAAGATGAAGAATAAGGGATGATAAGCGATGACTTGGTGAAGAAGAATGAAAGACTCCACTTCGAACTTGGCGCCGGTTGGTGTCTCCCGACTGCCGGACTATGGACTGAAGTAAAGTGAACAAACATGCTTAGCTACATCTAGTTGCATAGCAAGGAGCCGACTTTAATGGCATTTGTTCGGTGAGTTTCTTTTACCCTTCCCATCTAGCTTATCTTCTCCCCACAATCATTAAGTAGTAGGCTACCTATATTTTGTATATTATAAGGGTTAATATGTCGCTTTTTCGCACCGTATCTTTTGTATTGTAATACAGTAGTTGAAGTGTGTTTCTCATCTTCGGCTAATTTGTAATTACTCTGAGGATGCTGATGACTGAGCTTAACAGTTCGACTGTAAAATGGGTCAGAGAGAGGGCCAAATTCATCAGTGTGTGCTCTATGTAATGTGTATCTCAAACACCAGCGCATAACACAATTCTGTCCACCAGAAAACATGATCCAACTTCTGCTGCTAACTTGGGTAATGTGTCCGTCCTAAATGTCAGCAACTAGATAAGGAATAGTTGGTGCTTTCAAGTTATATCGATAACTCATGCTAAAATATGAACGATCCGGTGTCAACCAAACCCTTGCACACTCACAACAATGGTTTGTGGCTACTGCCACGTGTGTTTACGTGTTCTCGAGCAGTGTGCCTGCCGCAAAGGGGAACACATTTTCGCAACAATTACGACTTCAGGCGGTATGCCCCATTGCGGTCCCTTCCGCCTTGCATGCGTTCGATAGCAACAGTTAAGCTAAATTCTGCATTCAATTTGCGTATCAAGCTTAATGAGTAGATGCACTGGCCAGTACTTCCCCTCAAGACATTAAACATCATTGAAATTGTTTGCAGACAGTAATGCTGTCTATCGGCCAGTCAAACTATGGATCATTAGGCGTCCTCTGAGGGTTCGGATCATAGCTCACTCTCTAGAATTGTTTGAACGTCACCTGCTTATCCATGCTGATCCAAACAGTGGTGCAGCCTACCCAAACTTAGTCAGCAACGCCCGTAAATCCTCTGTACTTATAGCAAAAATCTGTGGTGTCAGTGCGCTTCAGAGATGGGACAGGACCTCAGTCTGGAAAATTTTGCGAGCTTTTCCAGATCATTCGAGTCACTAGCCACGGAAGACTTGGCATCTGTGTAGTCGGTTGGGAGGTTGATGGACTACGAATCACCAACTTACGTAAGCGCAAAGACCGCTAAGCTGAGCAATCCTACTCTACATGCAGTTGGCGTCCTCCTTCCTCTGGCTAAAAGCTTTGCCCCATTGGGTGCTTTGGAACGTTTCACTGGAACCACTCAAAGAATCAGAGATATGAAAGCGATTCAGGTAGGTTGGATCAGGTGGACTTCATCCGGAGCTGTTTAAACACCGCTGCGAGGAATTGGCAACTAATTCACAGCCATGCTCCCCAAGATTTGGTAAAGATAAAAGGTTCCACGTTCCATGGACATGTCAATTTTCCTCCCAATCTTCAATAAGGATGCCCGTACCATATGCATTAATCGCATATGAATCAATATATTGCTTGTCCCCTTAATATTGTTAACATCAACTGTCAACTTCGCAAACTCATCCAATACGAGAACTGCATTCCCGTTATGAACTGGCTGGTTTGCGTTCCGGTCGAAGGTGTGTAGATCATAAGTTAAATTAAGTAAACTCAGAAGAACTTCTAGCCAATCAAATAAGAGTATTTTTAACATTTTCACACTAACATTATGGAATATAATACCGAGCACACTAACAGTTGACAACAATAAAGCAAAACTTGCATCTTCAATCAAGCACAGGATGACAAAAAGGGTGTTTCATTCCCGATGGGTGATCTATATGTAAGCGTGATAGATAAGGTAGGATAGGGTTTCGATACGACGAGATACAAGAACAAACTTTTTAATGTTGACCGTGTGAACGAAATAGATATGGTGCTGGCTAGGATAGCGTGTAATGGTTACGAAGAACCATTGAAAATCTTGCCTGGAAAGTTGCTGCATGCATCGAAATGCGTGTTAACAATGAAATCAAAGGGCGATTCATTTCTTACTCCAGAGCAGATAGAAATAAATTTAAGCGTACAGACACAAAGGACGTAATCTTTTGGTAGTAGACCAGGGAAAACAACAGAGGAACAGTAAGACCAGTGAGGGAGAATGAATGCAGTTACAAATCTTATTAATTATAATTAATTAAATCTTATAATTAAAGCATTTTGCGCCTCCTAACTTTTTTAAAAGTTTTAAGAATTTGCATATATCAAGATGAACTGCGAATTCGGAGAACTCCGAGAAACAGTGCGCAGCTACTGCCGACCTTAGCAGTAGTTATAGGTCTCCATAAACCTCTCTGTGAGTACTACGCGGTAAATCGATTTTTTGGCGTGCCTTACTGATCGAGCTTTTTAACTGCAATATTGTGTAAAGCAGTTTGAATAAGCAGTTGAAACGGAATTTAACTATTTTCAAATTTCCTCTGATCCAAGATATATTGGATCGATTAAAGTGGTACTAGACATAGCGTCTCCCGGACGCTTACTGGCAATTTTGCCGTTGTTTCCTTTTTTAACCGCGTTTTACACCCTGTGTTGCCTTTTTAATGTGGTCGTTTTACGGTTGTATACGTGTTCTTAAATGCTTCTCTGGTTTCCACTTAAGCATGGTCTTCCCGCTAACAACCTAGGCGGTTGAACCCATTGCGTCCACGTTTGATGAATCAAATGCAGCTTGCGGCAATTCTACCTGTTCAAGGCGAGTTACGGATTCATCTGGTGGTATGCATTGTGATGTCTGCTCCCGCTGGTTTCACAAAAGTCATACTGGCCTCCGAGCGAATCAGTACAATTTGCTATCATTCAGTGAAAACCTTCTGTTTAGAAGTGCTGACTGAAGTACTCAGAAAGCGAAGCTCCCGGCTTTCACCTGAATTCAAAGCGCTGACATCCAGGTTCACAGTTGTTGAGAAGGCGTTAGCCCAGCTTGCCTCGCTTAACTCTAAAGTGGATTTGATTAGGAAATCCCTGAATATTGCGAATGTGGACCATGTAACGGACTGTCCTTCTGCTGACAGTCCATCCTTTGACGAAGAGTTCATCCTACCGTACGCTCACGTTCCATGGCGATAACTGACGGATGCCTCGGACAGCATCGTTGAGCTGCCCCAAATGTAAGACGAGTCACGGGCTCCTGGGCCAATAAGGTATAAGCGTAAGTGGGCAAGGAAAACACGCAAAGTGTCAGCCCCCAAACCGAGAGGTGATAAAATGCTCAAGAGGCAAGCGCTTGAGCTTTAAACACCAACTAGCGTTGCAGTTCCTTCAGTGAGACAAGACGTGCCGTCTTATTCGGTCCCACCGATTCCTGTCAAACAATCATGTGGCGTGGATGGTAAAGCATGTGTAGTAAATACACCTCGTAGGGATGATTGTTACACAGATACAAGTGTAATTAAGGGAGTTACGTACAAGGGAACAGAATCTGTTGGGATATAGAACTGAGAACGTTACGTCAGAGCAGTGAAAGTCTTGAGACAGGGACCGGGAACTCGAACAAGTCACTAGTTCATCTAATCCTCGCTGGAATCCTCAATGCTTAAGGTTATGCAGTCCAAGACAACGTCATTAGCATATTTACGGCGTCCGAAGCTTGGTGGACTAGGTATACTTTCGACGTAGGTGGTAAATAGAAAGGAGAATAGGATAGCTGTCTGAAAAGCAGCACAATTAGTTGGGAGT